TATCCCTCCTTGTCCACGCTGATGCCCCAGGGACGACACAGCTGACCGTCTCCCTCTCCCTCGCAGCCGAAGGAAGATATTTGGGAGCCTAGGGAGCCATAGCTCCGCCCTGACTTCACGATCACCTTGAAGGGGCTGCCCTGGATGTGCTGGTTGCACACCAACACTGACACAAGGTGCTCACCCTCACTTTTAGGCAGGTAGCTGACGGTGTAAGAGCCATTCTGGTGGTCCGTTACCTCCGCTGCAGACAGGTTGCCATCTGTGACTGACATGACTATCGCAGACATTGTGTCTCCGCCGGAGAGACGCGGCTCACCGTCATGGTCATATCCAATCACAGTGAAGGAGGCGGGCTTGCCACGAAGCGCACTTTTTAGACCCTCACCATGGGCTTTGGTGACTGGGGCGAAGGCTCCGCTGCTGATGAGGCCCATGGACTGGATGGCTATGTACAGTGCCTGTGGGAACCATAATGCAATACACTCAATTGCTTTGTAGTTTTTAAAGGTTTACTTGTAAACTCAGAATAGATAATCACAAGGTTAACCAGTCATAGCACTTACCCTACAACTACTATTATTACATCAGGCCCAGTAAACATAACAATACTTTCAAAGTTTTAAAACCTAACCAAACTTCAGGTGCCACTTGTTTATGAACCATGATCTACAGGGTCTCGGTGCCTACCTGGTCTGGAGGAGTAAACATGAAGCGATCATCCTCTTGGGGCTGCAGTATTCCCCTCAAAGCCTTGAGTTCATGGATCTGGGTGAGCATTCGCTCCCTGGCCAGCAGCACGTCGAGGTGGTGGCCCTCATCCAGCACCTGGCTGACAGCAGCGATGGTGCTGTCCAGCTTGGTCAGACTCTGGTGCAGTTTCTCCACCTGCAGGTACAGAGACTTCGCCTTCAACTGACGGATCTTCTCCACCTGAAAGAAGACACAACAGAATGTTTACCATGATCAAATTGGATTTTATTGTCCAAACACGCATGACAGAGGGATCCATAAAATTACTATTTTTTGTTTTGCTCAGCAGTAATTTACAACCACGTCTTCCACTTTTCCTTTATTTAATTTCACAAGTAAAACTGAATGTGGAATTAAACAGACAATAAGCCTCCAGTTACCTCCATACCACACTGTTACCAGCAGGTATGCCCACAGGGTGGCAGCAATGTGCTGACCATGCCAAGTATGTCAGATATTCAGGCAGAAGAAGAAACTTTGGGTGACATGCAGCTATTTGCCTGCATACCAATTTTAATTTGGCATCAGTCAAGCAGAATGAAGGTAAAGTGAAGAGACCAGAGGTAGCAGAACTAGTTACAGGAGACATTCACTGATATTGATTTGAAATTGACATAAGCCTGATGGGCATAGAGGGGAAATAGTGCATTACAGTGGTAAGATAAAATTGTAGGCGATTGACAAAAAACACATTTATTTCTGTGTAACAAGTATTTAGGACTCCATAAATGGCAACAACTGAATATGGATATTATCTTTACTGGTAACTGAAGAACACACACTAAGTAGATTTGCTCCAGATTGTTGTGTTTTTTATCTGAACCAGCTGTAAGCAACTATTTCAAGTTTCTTTCTTCTGGCCTAAACAATACAACCTAAGACAACAGGATAACAATGTGCCATATTGTATACAAAGTAGTAGACTATTAAGAGAAATAGCGGGTTTGGGGCTAACAAAAA